GTCCTACATACAACTGATACACTTCAAGCACAGATCTACATGCATATATGTTTATTTAAAAATAAAAAAGCAGAATATTCCTATATTTGTAATGCTTTCAGCAACAGGTAGCGTTGATTTTCTAATATTTATTTCTTTTAACTGTCTCTGTCACAGAGCGTGTTTACGTTTTATGAAAACATGGTGAAACAGTTTCACGGCTGTTTTTGTTTCTAATGACTGCGTTAGGAATTTCACGATCCATTTCGAAATGAGCAGGACCTCATCCAAAAATAAGAAGTATAGTTTTGTTGCAAAAAATGATGCACTTGTCACCAAGAAAGTATTTATGGGGACATTATAAATATGCAATCATAACGGAAAAAAAAATATCAGGGACAAACAAATAATGTGAAAGAAAACAAAAAATAAATTAATACCACCCCAAGACAGATTCAGCTTACTTGATGGCTGCTTCCTCGTCTAGCTTCAACTTTAAATTGCTGCACTCAGATTTTAACTCTCTTTAAAAAAAAAAAGAAAAAAAAAGAAAGAAGGAAAAAAGAAAGGTCTCGGCACCTATTTTATGTATAGAATGTGCTGCATTACCAGCTGTGCCACGCAAACCCTGAACGGCTCCTGCAAGACCGACAGTGAGGCCTGAACGAAGAGAGGCTGGGCAGCATGAGCGAGTGGTGCTGCGCTGAGGCCAACGTCAGGTATGGACGGGCTACCAATAATGCACATCATGGTAGCCGTAAGTCCAAATTGCCATTCCACTAATGCACGCCCCTGCTGACTGCTGATCACTGCTTCTCTCCTAAACATAGGGCTTGCAATGCACGTGCAGAATTTTCTAATTTCGTTTATTCCAGGGATTCCCAAATTTATTTTGTGGCCCACTGGTATTCCACGGGACCATAGAAAATGGTCTGCAGGTCTTTCACAGAGCCATTTCAATTAACTCCACACTTCTGTCAATTAAAAGGTAAATGAGAAAGATGTAAGACCTTACACTAGTAACGTCAGTCTGTACTGAACTAATGCTGAAAATCGGTGGTGAGCTGCAGAGCCAAATACTTTAGGACTGTTCAGTCAATCCTACTTCTCTTTTAAGCAAACTGTACTCACTGGCAAAGCTGAAGAATTTGTCATTTATTATTGTGTCAGTCTATACTCGCAGCATGTTAATCTCTCTTGTAGGGCCTTAACAGGCAACTCAACTTATTAATCTTAAGTGGTTTATCCATACAGAAAAAACCACGGACTCTTTCTAACCAGGCATTCACTTTTACACTTTCACTGCTTGCGTCAGCTGTCTAACTTAGAAGTGTCTAACTTCACCCTTTGTTGGTGACTTCAGAGGAGTTTTTCCTCCGTACAGATGGCAACGCATTTAGAGCAGACCATGGCGCAGAAATTTAGGGTGCATAAACTAGTAACTTCAGTAAGAGCTTGGGGAGTGAAAGAAATGCAGATCAGACTCTTACTTCAAGACTGGGTCCTTCTGCTGGGATAAATCAGCAGGAGAAATATCGGTCTATACCAGCTGTAAGTCCGACCCAGCATGCTCTGAGCTAGGCAGTCCAGGCTTTATTACTTTTTCTTTTCAAATGTGTAGCCCACGATGTAATGAGTAAAATGAGGACTTGAATGTTTTACGGGAAGAAGTAACACAGCCTCGATGACTGACTGCTCGATGGCAAGTAGCTTGTACCGTACTTTAAAAAGCATAAGTAGAATAGAAATTTGAAAGTGCTTCCCTAACGATGGGATGTGTGCTTAAAGGAGACTAACGAGGCAAAAGAAACAAAACTCCAGAGAAAATCTTCCATGGAATGGACAGATTAATTTGACAGATGTTTTCCTTATCATATCACATTGTCAGTTTTTTTAAGTTGCTACGCGCTAATAGAAATTCATAGGTTTTTGAGGCCAAAATAATCAGCACAAATGGTGATTCTAACCTCTTTTATAGTAACTTTCATAAACATTCACATTGTAGTTTTTGCTTCGCACCCAATAACCAGTAGCTAGAGCGTGTTTTACAGCAGTTTTTATGATTTGAAGACCTCGACCCATAGAAGATCTACACCATGTGTAGGTGAGAAGTTCTGATGGTTACTTATCTCCACCGCCAAAAACACAGAGCTGTATTTCTGTCCTGACCTCTCGTAGCTTTGACTTTTCAGCCTCTTGTTCCACTGCACGCTTATCTTCGAAATAGTAAAAGGGTGAGCGAGCACCCGCTGCCTTCCTGACTTTGTACCAGCCTAAGGAATAATTTGGAGCCAGCGTTTCAAACAACTCAGCTTCCTGAAAATCACCCTGCTGGAAAGGGCGTGCTGAAAAGGGCCTAGGCAGCACCGTGCCCCACAGCAGCGCTGCGCTCGCCAGCCGCGAAGGAGCAGCGCTCTCTCCTCACGCTCGCACACGCGCGCAGACACGCACGCCACAGCCGCAGGGTGAAGGAGCTCTGCAGTCCTGGCAGGGGGCTTGACAAACTGCACGGGGCCGTGCTGAGCCGAGCTGGGCAGGACTGTGCCCAGCCAGACCATGCTGAGCCAGGCCGGGCTGCACTGGACTGTGCTAAGCTGTGTGGGACTGTACCAAGCCTCACCATACTGAGTTGGCCCATGCTGAGCTGAGCTGGACTGCACCGAGGTGGACAGCACTGAGCGAAGTTGGGCCAGCCTGGACTGGGCTGAGTAGGGCCGGACTGTACCAAGCTTGACCATACCAAGTTGGACCGTTCAGAGCCAAGACTGACTGGGCCAAGCCAGATGGTGCTGAGTCAAGCACAGCCAGGCTGTACTGCACTGGGCTGAACTGGACCAGACCTAGTCAGATGGTGCTGAACCAAGTGTAGTCGAGCCGGATGACAGTGAGCCGAGCCGAGCTGGACCAGATCAGGCTAGGCCAAGCCGACTGTACCAAACCTGACCATACCTAGTCGGATGATGCTGAGCAGAGCTGGACTGAGTCAGACGGTGCTAAGCCA